CAGCCAAAAACCTACAGCAAAACCTTAAAGAAGGTTAAGCTGCCCTCAAACCCAGAGTTCAAGCTAAGCTGAGGAAGGAGAAGGCAATTTCTGGCTGAATTACAGAGCCTTTGGCAGATCATTGCTCTCCTGTGCCTCAGCCTCCCCATCTGAGTCATCGGGTTTGTTCTCATTTACTTCTGTCAGTACAAACCTTGGAGATTTGTATTTCAGAACCACTCYGGGTGTAAAATCGGCGGCGAGACAGGCAGCAGCAGGCGCTGGACGCCCTTCACAGCAGTGCCCATGCAGGAGAGGAGGATGCTCCTGCTCCAGGGCTGGGCTGGCTCCGCCCGCCCGCTCCGCTCAGCAGCCGGCGATTGCCACAGCAACAGGAGACGGGAGAAAAGCGTTCCTCCRGAGCGGATTCGGCTGCTTTTAAGTGGATGAACACAGGAGAGTTTGTTTAATAGCGTCGAGAGCAGAGGGGTGTGAAATTGGAAATGCGAGGGGGGGAGCAACACGCGGGGCGAGGGGATGGAACACCTGAGGCGGGTGTGGACTGGAAACCTGCGGGGTGTCAGCGCTCGGGAACCCTTGGCACCAACGCAAACCCCAGCGCTGTGGCCGGTCACCCCTCCCCTGTGTCCCCAAACCCCAGAGCAGGCTGAGCTGGAGCGATCTGCCTTCCCAAAAAAAGCCCCCCGTGCCGGTGTTGCAGCCCCGCTATCGGCTGAGCTGGGTAATCAAACAGCAAACAGGGGCAGAAGGTCGGGCAGGAGCCCGTGCTCCGCCCCAAAGCGATTAGCGAGGCTCATTAAAGCAGTTAATGGCGCGGGAGCCTCCGCATTTCCTTTGTACAGCAGCCCGAAGGACGCCAGCRTTGGGCCGGAGCGGCAAGGGACACCTCGGGAGTCCAGCCGAGCTGTGCCGGGATGGGAGCGGGCAGCTCATCCCAAAAACACAGAAGGTAAAAATCCCTTTGCGGGATGAGCAGTGAWGCTTTCCCCGTGCTCTGATGATGATGATGGCTGGGTTAAACACGCAGCACAGCTCACCCTCACCACATCCCTTCACAGCTGCCCCTTTCAGCAGGGATTTGGGACAAACCGGGTCCCAAAAGGACACTCTGGGGGAAGCAGGGTGAGCTCTTTGAATAGTCACACTTTTGTGATTGTCCCGGCTGCACACTCAGCTCGCCGAGGGGCTGAACAACTGCAGCCAGACAGGACAGGGCCGAGGAGCAGGAGAGCTCACAGCCCGCAATCCCCAGGGACAAACCGAGCACCCAGAGCCTGCCKGGCCGTGCACCGCCTTCCTCTTCACCCGAGACATCGATTCCCGCAGCTATCTGGCAACAAAAGCCTGCAGGAGCAGTGGGAAGGCGCGCTGCAATACATTAATTAATTAAAGAAAGGCAGCAATGCCTCAGAATTGAGGTGAATATTGCTGAGGGTGTGGGATACGGCACGGCCGGAGCTGAGGGCCAGGGCTCGCCCGGCTGCCTGCAGCCCTTCAATACAGCCCCTCAGCCGTTCAGTACAGCCGTTCAGTACAGCCGTTCAGTACAGCCCCTCAGCCGTTCAGTACAGCCCCATAGCCGTCCCTTGCAGCCCCTCAGCCGTTCATTGCAGCCCCTCAGCCGTTCAGTACAGCCGTCCATTGCAGCCCCTCAGCAAAGCCCCTCAGCCGTTCAGTACGGGGGGGGCTGTTCAGTACAGCCCCTCAGCCGTTCACTGCAGCCCCTCAGCCGTTCACTGCAGCCCCTCAGCCCTTCATTGCAGCCCCTCAGCCCTTCATTGCAGCCCCTCAGCC